AACATTTTTTAAAAAGTTAATATTTTTTGTATTTGTAAGGAAATATTTTAAATGGAAAATTTATTCTCTTCGTTAAAACTTTTTTATAAAGTACTTTCTTCGGGCAATGAACTCTTTACAAAAGTTAGTTTTAAAGAAATTAAGATTCCTCATCCAAATTGTCTGGAAACATGAAATTTTTTGCTTAATGATAGTGATGTTTTTAAGCAATTAACCTTTCGCGGTATAATTACTTTCCTAATTTATCTTTAGATAACTAATTTTATCGAAACACTCAACATGTATTATTTCTTCTTTTTATTGAGAAAACAAAGTTCAGAAATATCTTTTGACATCTAAATTATTTGATTTTTCAAACGCTTTTAAAACTGATTTCTTTTTGGTAAAAAATTTCTTCTTCCTTCAGACTACTTCCATTTTTACAAACCATGAAAATTTTGGGAAACTCTCATACTACATACGTTTTCCTAGTTTATGAATCAAAAAGAATTTTTTATTTTGAACATTCCAGTTCGCACAGGGAATGGCGACTAGCTATCAATATTCCAGTAGAAGAGATTTTTTTAGATACAGCAAACTTCACCATTTCGTAACATTATTTTTCTTTTACTGAGAAATAAAGCTAAAAGTCAAATGCTACCTGAAAAAATCAGAAATTTTCTTTTGAAACTGCAACAAATGTTCTTCCATAAAAAGGACACTTCCAATTTGGCTTTTTGTTATGGAGGAGATGAAAGTGTTTCTCATGTGAAAATAAATCGAAAATATAAAATGCAATTAACATAAGTGGTACTTCCTTTCCACATTTCACATTCTACGTTATTTATTTCGTACAGATCTGAACAGGTTCGGATCGTTTCCGAATCAGTTAGTCAGACATCGGTGTATCCAACGCTCGGAAATTCGATTTCGATCGGTTCCAATTCTAGTCGACGTGTAAAATCATGATTTCCAAATTTCTTGGTTCAACCTCTTGACACAATTGCACTGACTGAATATGAAGTAAGTACGAGTACCATTGACTCCTAAAAATCCTATTTCTCTCTTCGTTTTAAAATTCAACCACCAGTAACGAAAAAAAAAAAAAAGAAAAAGATGATATAAGACGAAAAATCTGCACTTTTATTAACTCCATCCGCATCCATTAGATTGACTCCCTTGCTGGCTTTTCTTTCAATGAGAACCATAGAATGATCCTCATTCCGATAGGATTACTTCAGCAGTTGAACGACAGGGCGCGCGTCGAGCGGCGATTTTTATCTATGGTCGAAGTTTCCAGGTGCCGGTTGACAGGGCATTAAGCAGCAGATAAAAAAACAGAGGTTAGGAAAAATCTATTTACGAGAAAATGGATTCGTTTATTACCAGAGATTACGTAAAACCTATTACGACGAAGACCGAGGAAAGAGGTTATCCATGACTATGGATCTCTGCTCCACGAACTGTAAATAACTTGATTGCGAATGCCGACCGTTCGACAAAAGATACGTTTAAGTGATATCCAATTTAGCCCTACTAAGGAATTTTCCTTTTTACTCTGGCCTAACCTCTTTTCTATAAATTCAGTCCTGAATATAGATTCGAACTCTTCTCTTCTTTTTTTTTTTTTTAAGTTTATTGCCAAATTTTGTATGTATTGTATGCATAGTTTAATATCTACTGCAACAGTAGAAAACGCTTAAATAATTTACAAAAGACTTGTTTTTATCTTTTCATAGACTATGCAAAGATAATAGAGATTCGAACGTAATTTCATCAAAACTATCACTCTGCAAACTTTTGGAATGCCTGAAGATTTAATGTACGCAGATAATCATTTAGAATAGAGCATACTTCATCGATTTCTAGGGCAGGCACGGATTGGGGGAGGGGGGCTAGAGTAGCTATAGACCCAAACCTCGCAATAAAAAAAGTACATCTTATTTTTATAGCGAATTTAAAAAAAAAAATAAAAAGTAATTGAATATAAGAGAAATGTTACTCCACATTTATTTCATTTCGTTATTATTTCAGTTATAATTCACAAAAACTTAAAAATTATGATAGTTACCTAATTATTTTCGAAATTTACTTCACTTCCTGTAAATGTTCTAACACGAACAAGGGTGTACGTTATACACGAAGTGAAATTTAGTATTATGCTTGGATAGGTAGTATCATGTTGAGGTTAGGAATATTTAGGTTATGAAAACAAAATGGATAGCGTAATTGGAGAGAGTGACTGATCATTGGTAGTTATGAAGCTTCGAATATAATCTCAATCCTAATTAAGCAAATATGTCTAACCTATAGCCCAACTGTAAATTTTATGGAGATATAATGGAAATATTGGTATTTCATAAATGTGAATACAGTTTGATGATGATCATAAATGTAAATAATTTTTAAAGAATAGAATAACATCGTTGACTTTTTGATTTATTTTATACTCTGTATTGTACCCAATTACGTGTGATGTTTCCCCTCAAACAAAATTTTGATTATAAACGATCAAACAATTCTTTTTTTAATTTCACCAATCAGAACATCAAACCATATAATCACATTTTGCATAATTATAAACAACCGAAATTCACGATACGCGAACTATCGATAATAAGGCCAAATGTCTTAAGAACTGACGAGACCTCGTGGTGAAAAGTTTCGAAAAAGCAAATCGTAAAAAAAGGGGCGAAAACCGAAAAAATAAAGGAGGAAGAAGAAGAAGATTTTTACGCTACAAGTTCGTCGTGTTTGAGTAAAAAAGACATTTTTTCTCCTTCATTTAATGATCTTTCCGTGACGTTACTACAGTCTCGAAGTAGTTCTCGATGCGGACTCGTGGCCCTAATAAACGCCATTCAAAAACTCTGGTGAAAGAGGCGCGTCGATGGGGGGGGGGACAGAGTAGGGGTGAAAGGAAGAAGAGTGAAAAATAAAACGCAGAGTAAAGCAACGTCTTTTCAACCATGCTCGAATAAAAAGATTTAATGAGCTTATTATACGCGAATTAACGTACACTAATAACGCGTTCTCCGGTGCCTCTCGACACTCTGCTGAACACTCGGTTAACGATTTCCTCTAGGAGAGGGGAGGAACACGAGTTGTGGTTTTATTTGCATATCGACCTATCAGAGCTATCTAAAAGCGACGTCACCTTTGATGCTTCTAACGGCCCTGTGCACGGCAGATTATGCGTCAAACGGTAACGATATTTGACAGGGTGAATGCGATTTCCGGAGACGACGACGGGATTCCTTAAGGCTGTCCAAAATGGCGCACATTCTGAAAACATAGTCCCGTTAGGTACAAAGTAACGTGACTCTAGGTTCTCTCAAATTTTCTTAATGTGTTATCGCATTATTCAGGACAATATCATTTATGATAAATGTTTTATTAATTAATTTAGTCGTTGACAGTTTCTATTACATTTCTTAACCGTTGAAGATAAAAAGATGCATCAACTAGAGCATAGAATGATATGTAGTATCATTTTAAAAGATGTAAATGATATTGTAAAAATGTTATAGAACATATTATTCCGTTGCCCGTTATGAAAAATAAAGAAAGATGCATCGATTAGAAATTAGAGCATAAAGGCATAACATAACCCCATTTAGAAGTATGCCAATTACCTCGAAATCTTAAAGAGGAATAATTCTAAAGGAAAAATATCACGAATCATAATATTCCTCGCTTTAAACTACCCTATTTTGCCCTGACGTAATTCTCGCACTAACAGAGGTAACAAAAATTCCTATTAAGGAATCCACGACAAATGAAACACCCAATACATTTCAATAAGCAGAACACCATTACTAGCCGGTCTAAAAACATAACCTCTATAAGGAAACTTCTAGTTACATCGTTACCATGACAAATTAAGGATGCTAACGATGATTGGATCGGAAACACGTCTCTCCAATCTAACCTGTTTACGCCGGGCTGGTGTCGAAGGCCCGCTTTTTCGAGGCAAATCAGCGTCTTGTCGATCGACGTCGAACGTGCTGTAAGCAACGTTTGAGATGCAAAACAACGTTTCAGCATTAACGACCGTGTGTACACGTGTATCCGGCACGTGTGCAAAACGAACGAGAATGTCCCGTGTATGGGTCAAGAGAGACGAAAGAGAGAGAGAGAGAGAGAGAGAGAGGGAAAGTGAGATGGAGGGATGAGATGGGACGTTTGGCGTACAATAGAGGCGTGGATATTGAAAATTTATCGGAGGCAGAATAAGTGGATGAACCTTGGCCAAGGCTATTTGTCGGAAATTGAAATTTATCGAATTTTCGGCGCATGTCGAGCGGAGGCGGCGTTCTCGAATTTTCCCGCCGCTGCCAAAGCTTTAACACTCAATGACATGTGAAACATCGAGTGATCGTTTTAAACTTACTGATTTCTAGAGGCCGCTCTTCAGGTGCTCGAGTATCGTTCGACGCGTCGAACGTTTTTCGGAGAGAAAAATATTCAGAAGGGTTCTTTAACGTGATAACGTGAAGATCGCGGGAAAAGCATCTGGTAATGTTGATATCTTTTTTTATTTTAACTTATTTTTCTGTTAAATTCCACTCAAACTTTTTTATCGTTTTATCACATTTGACTTCTGCACCGTCACTGGTGGAAACGTCCTATCCAACATTCGTTCATTTTTCAAGATATATTCAAATATTTGAAGTTCCCTAGGTTTCTTTTTTTTTCATGCAAAGTGATATTATATTAAAGTGATAAAGTAATATGACGTTACCGTAATTCGGCTTTAATATCCAAAATAAGTAATACTAACATGTATAGGGAAAAGTTGTTCAGAATGTTGGCCTTGACGACGTATTTCAAAGTCATTGAATAGATGATTACCGATAAAATTAATTTCTTTTTTCAACTCAATTTCGAAATGGTAGATAAGACATCTTAATGAAGAGGCATAATGTGATCTTCAGACTTATTGATGTTTTAATAAATTGTATTTAATATTTTAATAAGAATCTCACTTCGCCAAAAATGTTCAATAAAATTGCACGTACCTTCACACAAGCCTATGGCTTGTTGGAGAAAGAACCGCGTAGGAAAGAGGAACAGCAAGCAACAACGAGGCTTCTTTCTGGCGCATAATACTCTTGGTCGCATCCGCGGCTCCAACAATGAGGATCGATAATTCGAAAGGCTCGAGTAGCCATGCCGTTGAAAAAGATTCGCCCAGGCTAACGGAAATCTTGCAGCCAGCGAACGAAGAAACACACCAAGACGGTGCAATCTCGTATTTCAAAGGATTCCACGACAATTCAGCCTTCCCGCGAGAGCTTTGTTATCGCTTTGCCTCTCTGCGGGTACCTGTCCGCTTTCGTCGCTTTTCCACCAGATATTCTAGGTCAACGTTGCTCAAACTATGATCCTCGTCCTCTATCAACCGAAGTGAAATAAAGTTTTCTTTTAAGAAACGATCATTTTCTTCATCTCGTGATCGATGTTTTCACTTAATTCCCCGTGTTTTTAATTCACGTTCTACGTTAACGAGCTACTAAATAGGATAACATATTAGATTACTTGAAACGAAAATATTTTCATAAGATAAGATAAAATATCTTTATTCCGGTAACACTTAATTTATGTAAGCGTTAAATAAAAAGAATACTGAATTAGTTTTAAAATAAGATATTCACCATAACGTAACATAAAGTGAAGTATCTTTATGTTAGTAAAACGGAATTTTTAGTTTACGGTTCGAAATTTAAATTTTCAATTCAAATTGCTGTGCATTGTCCCTCCTTCGTAAAGGCGGAGAAAAGGAAGGTTTCGTTATCAATTATTCAGGAGCTTTTATTACTAATTCTATTACTTATTCATGGAAATGAATTGTTTTATTGCGTAAAAGAAGTTTCATATGATTTGCTTATATAAATATGTATTTGAAAAAATGTGTTGTGAAAGTTGTTGGAGAAATTTAAATTTACCATTCGGAAAAGATCAAAGAAGACCTCTAGACAACTTGTTTCGTTGTATAAATTGACCACTCGGAATCTAACCGGTTATAATTGGTTAATTATAACAATGATTGGTTTAAACAATTTTTATCGTCGAAAAACATTGTTACATCGGTGTTTGCTTAACAAAATTACATACGTCAATTTTAATGATCAGCTGGTAATTTAATTATTGATAGTAAATTTGATTATTGATAGTATAAATAGCGAAGATGATCCGTCAAGTAGTATGACTCAACGTTTGTAACGACATACGCCGTCAATAGCAGAATATCTATCTACGTTTCTTGCACATTATAAAAGAAAGACTAGTTCACATTATATTTCCAAAATTTGATTGTCAATCAACGAAATAACAAGAATAATATTGCCAGAATCAGTTTCCTTCTCCTCTTCATTCTTGTCTAATTTTATGTATTATTATCTTGAAATTAATAGGAAAGAAGAAGAGAATAAGTTGATAAAAAAGACAAGATAGTAATAGAAACTTCCTGTACATTAACAAATCTTGGGATATCGAGGATTTATCTGAAAGGAATTATCAAACACAATAGAATATAAAATCAATATCCCACTAACCAATGAAATAACCATGATAATACTATCGGAATCTACTTTTCCTTTTGGTCTTTCTATCTTCGACGATAATGTGATTTAATTAAAGCAGAATTAAAACTGATCGCCGGGATTACGTTTCACAGAACATTTATAAATGTTATTTAGAATCTTTCGCGTGGCTTTTTTTTCAATAAAACCGCCCACGCTCGAAACGGAAACCGATTAACGATACGACGGGAAGGGAACTTTACGAGCCGTTGAAATATTGCTTTCTAAAAGCAATATTGTTCCTGAACTCTATACTCTGTAAAACTTTATCCATTATTTCATTTGCCGTATTTAACGGCGAAGCAGCGTAACGTTTCGCGATTACCTTGACTGACCGTCATAACATCGATCTATATATCGAAAACTTGTTATACCATGAAAGAATTATTTTTCTGTAACGTTCAACGTTAGGATTATTCTTTAATGGCGTGAACAAATTTTTTTCCAGTTGAAAATTATATAAAAGTTCGTTACTTCGACTGATTCATTCGTGTACTGTGCCCCTCGCGTCCTTCGTCTTCAGAATTAATTCGCCTTTCGATGTGAAATCGGTGCGACGATAAAAAGATCGATATAATGAGAAAAGAAAGTGAAATTTCTGTAAATAATTAAATTCGAAGATTGAGGTTAGGTTGAGGTTAGGTTTTCTATATTCTATTCTTCTACAAGTAAAAAATATTATAAACAATTAACTCTTTCGTTACCATCGTTTAAAAGAAAAGTCGCTGTTCACAATTAAAATTTCAAATTTTCAATGTGTTACATAATACGACACATATATTTTTACATATATAACAATGAAAAAATGCAAGTAGACATTCCAAGAATTAGAATGCGTCGAACGTGTGACGCATGGTAGCGAAAATTAATTAAATTTGCAATAGTAACAAGTAAACAGAGAATGTATACCAACCTAACCCCAACCTAACCCCAACCTAACCCCAATCTATGCAGATTCATATCTTTAAGAACGTGATAAAGAAAAAAAAATGGATCTGTATTGAAAGATATTATCTCAAGTCCTGTATGTCAGATTTTTCTATATTTTTTTAATTTTATGTACATTTTTACATTTTTAAATTTCCCGCAAACGCATCGACTATATTCAACGTTCCAGTAATAACCGATCGAAAATCTTTCAAAAATACATGAACGAACTTATTACCTAACCTAATATGATTTTCAAGATTTAATTATAGAAAGTGGTTTTTAATGACGTGGAAAATTTTCCATTTTTCCAACGACTCTCTGTGAAAACACTTTTGATCTTGGATTGAATAGACTCGTCGTTCTATTCGATTACCAGAGACGCGACGCTTCGAAGAGTAAATATCTCGCGAAAGTTTCGCGAAATCAGCAAAATTGCACTGGGTGTACAAACATCTGTGCCGGTCCGCGCTCGGACATCGTGTTTGTCCATCAAGTTTATTTCCGTGTGAACTCGGTAATTTATTCCCGTGCACATTCAATTTCATAATTCCACCGCTGGGAATGTCCTCCGGTGACAAAAAAAGCCCGCGCGTTTTAAACCGGATATTGTCTTCAAACGTTTATGTACTTAACATCGTGACATGATACGAGAAGAACGAAATAAATTGCTATATAAATTGTGAAATAAATTTGAAGAAGCAAATAATTCGAATAATTATCGTTTGTTTTACGTGATATTGTGATTAATTGATATTACATATTAAATTACTGGAAATCGTTTAATATTAAAAGTAACATTCATTAATAATATTATTGCTACTATTAATGTCATTAACTTATTTTACTGCTATTATTAATATTATTATGCAATATTGTTATTAATTGATAATTATAATTAGTTTGTAAATGAAAGGGAGAAATAAATTGCGAGATAAATTCAAAGAAGCATATGATTAAAATAATATCGTACATTTGAAATGATAATGAAATATTGTTATTAATGAATATTCAGTATTGAATTATTTAAAATAATTTAATATTAAAAAAAGTAAATAATGATTCATATATCGTACGATTATCTCGTATGAAAATAAAATGAAGTATATTCATATTTGTTGGATGGTTCGAATTGAAGCATCGTTAATTTGTTAATTGACGTAGATAAATTGTAGGTTTATAAGAAACGAAAAAAAGAAAGCGAGAGGGATGTAGCATCGAAAAGTTGGCCGCCTTAAGAACGCGATGCTGGCAGCTGTACATAATCAAAAATGAAACAAAAGCAGTGCTCCACTTTCGACCGATTGTCCGGAGTTTGAAAGAAAGTAATGTTGTAGAAAATCAGGCCGTTATACGGCCCGCTAAAGTGAAACGCGAACTGCTTCATTCAAAAAATTGTATCTCTAATCTGTCAACTTTTACTCTTATCATAAATTGAAATACGCAGAACTTCCTTTTGTTCATTCGATTGTTTCAGTCATTTTTTGAAATTTAATTTTTTCTTGTTTAAATCTTAACAAAGTTATAGAAAGGTCTAAATGAAGTAATTTAAAAAATATGTTAAAAGAATAGAAACTTTGTAGAAACTAACTGATATAAATTGGGGGTACAAAAAGAATTTAGAAAGAAACAATTGTTTACTACAGTCCAATTTTTTTCCTTGAAAATTGTATGATTTACTGAAAAAAAAATTGGAAATGAACAACGTTAGTATTTAATAAATTAAAAAATTTTAAGGGAAGTTACTTTCCCAAAATTTAATAAAATCTAACAAACCCTAAGATCTACGCTTTGGATATTTAGAATTTAGGAAATATACTCTATAAGGTAGTAAATCTGAAAGAATCACTTTCATGATAGTGAAGTTTGAGAATTTTCAGGATAGAAAATTTCAAGACTTTTGTCATAAGTTTGCAAATGATTTTTGCAGGCTTAGCTTTACAAGGAAGGAATTCGAGAGGCCGTTCCTATAACCTTCACGTTTACTGAGAACCGCCTTTGTACCATTAAGCAAGACCTCCCTCGTAATCTTGAGGTTTGATATAACCATATAGTCCATAGGTAAGTCGTTTTCCATAACCTACCATAACCTTAGGCTCTGGACAATCTTAACCTCCATAACTTTTAAATTTGATATCTCATAGTATAAGTATTTATTTAGAATTACAATATTCGAATGATTGATTAATTTCCAAAAATTACTTATGTCTAAAACTTTGCTATTTATAAATAAATAAGAAAAAGTCACAAGAGATATTGTATTATATTGGAAATTTCTTTAATCTGATTCGAATCCATCGTGATACTGATAGGAATGTTACTTTTTATCTCGCAAATGGTACAGCTATACAATGTCCTTTTCATACAGATGTCATATACATTTCGAGTGCATTCTGAGTTGCATCGGCTATGCTTTTCTTATCTCACCACCATTCTGCGACATCGTATACGATGCTCCTTAACGATATCAGTGGCATACAATAGCAGCGTTGGACGTTGTTTATAGACACGCCATTATATTTCAAACGGAATGGACTTTTACACTTTTAACAGGCTTCGTTTGAGAATAACGTATCGAATATAGTCGTGGAATTGTGGTTTTACCATGTATTATAATGGGACGTATGTTCCAGAGAATGTCATACGAAAGGATATCGTAAAACAATATACATACATACTTAGGAGAATTGCAATAATTTGTTGCTATTAAATGAATAGATTAAATATATATATATATATGTTATGAATTTCATAATTCACGCTTTTTCATTCATTTAATATAAAATGAAATAGATGCTTGCAACAAAGAAAAAAATTATTCTTTATACTTACTTATATATGTATCAATGAGTGGTAAAGAAGGGTACCTGTTATATCTTTAGAAGATAATTTACCTTCGTGTGATAAAATTATAAATATGTATGTATCTAATTGTCTTTTTTTATCATACTGAGGCATGATCATTTCTGATGAAAATTTGAATGCATGATTAGATATCTACTTATTGTTATTTCTAAAATACAAATATATAAAGACACGAATTATTTTGTTTTACCCGGTTTATGTCATTTCTCACAAAGAGCGCTACTAGACGATTAGCAACACCACTGAATGACTTGCATTCCAACTGCAATATCACATTTTTCCTCTAGACTTGCACGTGTCATCTTGTACTTGTGAAAATAAAGAAATCTCAACCATGGATGAAGATCTGTTACGATCCGTGGATTTGTTAAAAGAGAACGAAGAACAAATACGAAACGATGCTGAAAATGCATTGTTAACTGTTTGTCAAAACATTCTGTCCCATCCAAATGACAAAAAATATCGGGAAGTACGACTTGATCATCCTCTAGTTACTACAAAATTGCTACCTGCTCTTGGAGGCATCGAATGTTTGTTCGATATTGGCTTTGTCGAGGTAATTATACTTTAAGACTTTAAGATATTGTCATTGATTTTTATTTCATTGAATTTTTTTTCGTAAAGTACTGTAGTGACGTACTAACTGGTCAGAATTCTGCGTCGTTAATTGACCGTCACCATCCCCACTATCCCCACACTAGTTTGACTTTAATTCTTCAGTCTTTATAACTCAAATTATGATCCAATATAAGAAATTTCTTAAATTTTGCTAGTTATTTCAATAGTTAATTGTATAGTATATGTAGAATTCCTTTTTCCTATCTTCCTGGTATGGAGCCTGTCTTGTTAAATGATAAAATTTAATTTGATTTGTGACCAGTTAGTAAGGCACCATTAACATTCCTTTTTTTCAATAGACCACTGACTGCCTTTCATTGCCACAAGAAGCACCACTTTCGAAATTGCAATCTCTACAAAAATTGCTTAGTAAAAGTTCTTTTACCAAAACATCTGTTACTAAAGACCCAACATTGTATAATTTAATACCGCTAACATTCACAGTGGAAGAGAACAGGTTTTACAAATCTATTATAGACAACTTCCAAAAAGTTCTGCAATATGAAGATGCAAGCTTGCAAGAGAAAGCTAAAAAAGTAATACCCATTGTAGACCTTGAAATAGCTACTATGACTAGACTCAGACAACTGCACAAGTAATAATCAATTATTTAAAAATGATTATATTACTCTAAATTTGGTTTTGTTCATCAAATTTACTGTTGTAGGCATGTGAAACTAAATCAGATTGCTCCAGATAAAAGTGTTAAAAAACAATACAGTGAGGATGATATTGACGATGTTAAAGATATATTTCTCATGGAATTGTTACATTGGTTTAAATATAAATTCTTCACATGGGTCGATAGTCCAAAGTGTACTGCTTGTTTTTCAGATTGTAAACATCAGAACACAGTACCTCCAGATGATCCTAGATGTTCACAAATAGAGATACATAAGTAACTTGATATATTTTAATCCCAAGAATAATTGGAGAGTTTTTTGAAAAAAGGTTTTGTAGGTCTATACTAAATATATAGATGTCGAATGTACGATTTAATTAAACTTTATAAATAGAAAAAGAGCAATATATATTCTTTAAGAGCCGTTATAATTCTCAATTCAAACATAACTAATAAAAAGAAATTAGAATTAATTATGAAATTAAAACTTTCAATGCCCTTTTTTCAAAAAGTTCTGCGATTGTTGGAATGTAGTTTAATAATTGTTAAATATCATTCCAGATGTACTAAATGTGGAACACGGGTGAAATTCCCTCGCTATATCGATCCGGAACCATTGTTAACTCTAAGACGTGGACGGTGCGGAGAATGGGTGAACGTGTTCACGCTTTTGTGTCGAACACTAGGATATGATGCAAGATGTGTACATGATGAAACAGATCACGTTTGGACAGAGGTGTGTAATGATCACTGACCTTGCGTAAATGGAAAATATGTGCAAAGGTACTCGTTAACTCATTGCAATATGGAAATCGGTCACACAAGGGTGTCCTCAAAATTATGTTCATTAAAAAATTTACTTCATCAAAATAATTGAGTGATTGATAATATGTCAATAACTTAGGTATGGTCTATACACGAAAAAAGATGGATTCATCTAGATCCATGCGAAGATGTCATGGACAGGCCATTGATGTACGAAAAGGGCTGGAAAAAGAAACTAACTTATATAATAGCTTATTCAAAAGACGAGGTGCAAGATGTTACTTGGAGATATACACGTAATATACTAGGAGTGCTGAGAAGAAGAGATATCTCCTGTGAAAGTAAACTGATACAATTCATTGAATCATTGAACAAATATCGTCAATCTTCCCCGAGCTATAGTGCCACTCGTCGGCAATATGTGATAAAACGAAGACTTTTAGAACTTGTAGAATTGATTCATGTGCCCAATAAACAAAATTCTGATGACAATGAGAGTTATGGAGGACGATCCACAGGTTCCTATGAGTGGAGATTAGCGCGAGGAGAAATTTCTGAGGTATGGAATCATTTTCTAATTAACATTAATTGATTCACATATGTATAAAACTCACAAGATAAAAACTAATTCTTAATTAAATCTTTCAGTCGAAATCAAAAGTAAATTATTCTTGGGACATTTCGAACTACGGAGAGGCATTTCATTTGCAGTATTCTATCATTAACGACGTATATATGATAACAGATAATAGTGATAAGACATTAATGGATATATCTGGTTGGCAAAATGGAACGAACGAGATCGAAGGTGGAATGTTTCGTAAAGAGGAGCATGATTGGAAGGTTACCTATTTATCTCGTTCTCCAGGAGCTACTTCTGGCAAGGTAAAATGGTGCTTTGTAGTCACGAAACCAAACCTGTACGTGAGGACGTTTCATTTACAAGCTACTATAAAAACATTTCATGAAGCTAATGTATCGTGGGAGGTAGAAGCGATTTTTGACAATGCAAATCAAAATAAGTCTGTAATTTTACCTATTAGCGATGTTTCTAATTATCATACGGACCAATTGAAAGGAGCAGTGAAATTAATTCTCACGGTAACTGTTTCCGGTGGTCAAGGCAATTGCGCGTGGCAACACGCACAAATTTTTCGACAAAGTCTAGAAAGCAAAGACGATAAATCCTTAGTAATCAATATCGAACTAGAAAATCGGTAATTCTAGAATTGATTTGTATAATTTAATCGAAAAACCTCATGGTTTGTATAAACGCTTTTACTGAAGTTGTGCGGATTCTTTTAATAATGCTACATAAATGACATATTAAGTCTTAATGAATATGATCTTTATGGGAAGAATATATCAAGACCAATAAGTTTAGTTTTGAAATGAGTAAAAACATTCCATATTTAAAATTTCTTTTTTTTTAAAATATACATACACGTTTAAATTATATTGTATAATTAGATGATAAGAAAAATTTCGACACTTGCATAATGCAATTGATAATGTTTATCCAATAAAATGATGAGATTAAATTGTTAACTTATACTGCAAATAAAAATGAGCTCTTGTGAATTCATAAGCTTGAAAGTTTTTATTTCATGTACAAAATAAGCGAACTAGTGATGGCACTTTTTGGAGACATTCGTATCCGATAGATGTTACACAATTATTCAACAATAATTTTGTAAGCATTGATAATATATGAACACAGTATCTTCAAATATTTATTTTTTTTTCTCTTTTCTATACACATTCATCGAATGTCATATAAAAACAGTATTTTACAACTGTTTTATTATATAGTTGCTTACATGTGCTCCAAAAGTATTAATTTTTCTTATTACTTTTACTTTTCTTTGCATTTCTCATTACATATAATAATAATAAATCGTTGTGTCTTATTGAATTTGCAAATAAGTTGCAAAATGCTGACATAATACGTTGTCGAATTCACGCATCAAATACACAATCGCAACAAACTTTATGCTCTGAATAGTTTGTTTATCCTCGAAATAACACAAGAACGATGAACAAATGATTATAAATAACTTTATACAATGTGTAAATTAACAAAATTACAAGTTATCGATAATAAAATTATCGCGTTGAATGAGGAACGTGTTGCATTCGTGTTTAAAGAATGCAAACTCGACGTAAAATATTTATATTACAACATATTAAGGTACTGAGTGTAACGACGTTACTGAAACACATAATCACAATAGAATACAGACTGCAATGCGTGCTAGATACAATTTTCTTTTATAATATATAATTTTTTTGCTTCACTAATTTCGCTATCACGTGATATAATTTCAATACTATCGAAATAATAAATTTCAGTTCAACGCTATTTATTTACATACTGTTAACGTATCCCAGCACCAATAAAGCCCATCATGACGTCGTAGTATTGTGTGCTTGTATGTGTATACATTCGCATAAATAATAAACTTCATACATGTACATACAAAAAATATTCAATTATCTACATCGTCATAGAACATTCATGGCCTTAAGTAATAAGTCAGCTCTTTGTATTAATACTACATAATGTTGCTTGAGAAAGATGTATAAAATAAGAGATAGGCATTGGTATTCTGAGACCTTACTTGATTCACCGTAACTTCCGTGACTGTTTGATCGTCGTATTTATACCACCTAAGAAGAAACCACATGAGTAATGTTATTAATGTTATTAATTTTAATAATTGAAACGGCTATTACAGTAAGGAGGCAGTTCCACTTTTCAGAAAATTAATTAAAATCAAATAACTCCAAACGTACAATAAATTTACAATCAGTTAATATTCATAATAACAAACTTTTGGATTTTTTAATATGAAACCTATACCTTTCTTTTTCTTCCTTGTAATAAATACTTTGTGTGAATATTGTAGCTGCCTTATTACTACTCCAATTATCGTTTTGTTTCCGCCAAATTATCGCTTTGAAGCTCCATAAAGAATATGAATATGAGGCTAAAGAAAAGTATTTACTTACTTATTTTGGGTCGCGTTTTTACAGAAGGCCGTATAATGGCCGCCTTCCATGGTCCCATAATGGTTAGACATTGCATATAAACTGTAATTATAATTATAACTGCGAATATTCGAAATCGCAGCACTGTTACTATCCGCCACCAAATATGGTTTCAAATTGAAATCTGTGAGTGGAAAATCCACAGCAGTGTTTCGTTTCTCGAGCCATCCACCACTCTCGGCGAAACGATTTAAATGTATAACTATAATAGGCGCCAATTTCACGAAATCGAATTTCTTCGTAGCTTCTCGAGGTGTCTGGCACTTTGGACACTTCCATCCTACTACCTTCTGTCCACTTACAAATTTTAAAATGCAGTCCTATGAAATTAACGAACCTGTTTAATATACAGCAAAAAATTCATTTTAAATTAGAAAATGAAGATTTACGTTTAATGTACACCGATTGGCATGAGGTAAAGACATCGTCAAGCTGTTGAACATCTCATACGTGGTACTACTTTGCTTGCAAAAGCTGCACGTGATAGTAGACCTTAATTGTCCAAAGAATAAGTCTGATATTATGGATTTTTGGGAATCCATCGCTTTATCCCAGGCTTTCTCGGCGACTGTCATTTCCAGAGGCACTTTACAATTCTATAAATACCAGAACAAAATTTTATAAACAATGAAAAATTTAACTTCTGTTAGATTTGATTTAGTATTTAATGATAATAGGGTAAGATATTACCTTTTTTAGATCGTTATGCATCCAATCTAGAAGAAAAGTGAGGAACTCATGAGAATCTTGTTGTTCGTAACTTTCAAATTGTAATTTGTATTGTCCCACGGCGATCTAACGATTATAATACACTTATTAGAGCATACATGAATCTAAAAGTACAGCATGCATAAATAAAAAGAGAAAATAAATATCACGCATTATAATATACAATTTTTTAAGTGCAAATTAATTACAGAAAGTGAATTTAAAAAATATAAAAAATTGAAGCTAGAGAGAGATAAAAGATTATATCTTTATACAAATATTTTTTATTGATTTATTTATATAGAAGAAATAAAAATATCAGACCTTAAGATCATGTGGCGATATACTCTTGTATTGACCTCTCCAGAGTGCTTTAATCACTTGAGCTACTTCTTCCACAACCTGGCCTTGCGTATTGTTATCGTTATTGGTGTTTAGGTCATCAGCGTACAAATTGTCCATAAAGTATTTGGCTAAATGCGTGGTATTACTTAAGCACTGTATAATACTGTTCATGTAACAGGAGTTGCCTAAATTCTTTAACCCTGTAATGCCTGGATACTGTAACACAGTAACAAGAAAGACACTATGCTAAATACTTCATTCTTCATTGGCACATATCTCTTTTTTAAATAAAATTATTTTTTAACAACTTCCTATATAACGAAAATTAAGAATTTTATTCTCTTCTATGTCTATTTTTATTGTTTTATAAAATTTTCAATGTTTATCAATTACCTTTTTAAAATAATAAACATTGAAATTCGGTACAAATTTTCTAGACGAATTTACCATCTTTCGTTTACACGTTATTTGTTAATAAATTATTTATTACATGATTTACTACATATTTTAAGACGAGACCGATCATAATTAATTATTCTATATTATAATCTTGCTAATTCTAATGTATTCGACACTCATTCGCGTGATCGTGGAGTTTAATTGAAGTTCTGTTAATGAACTTCGCCGTAGTAGCATTTTGGTGACGATAGTCAGACATATACTGATACATATCTGTGACGCGTTGCTTCGAGAAGATTTAACTAAATTGGATTTAGAAGCCTTGAAGGTAGAAAATGTTTTTGTGCTCACGTGTTTATTTGTCACATAGAAACGAAAAATCACGCGATTTTATTTTATTATGAAGTTTTAAATTGTATTTTTTTCATTCTATCTTCTCTAACGAGTAGTATATTTTTATGCATTAATATAACAAAACAATAATTAATATAGAGTTTAATTGTATTTCATAAATTGTATACTTAGTATGTCTTATTCTGATTTATCCACGTGGACAGTAAACACGTGGCTGTCAGCAATTATAATCGTCAATGGAATCTCATACAAAACAACGTGTGGTAATGAATGTCAACTAATATTGCTTTAAACATTTTTTTATGTTACTTCCACGTTTTTTAAACTTTTTAATGATGTGTTGATACTTACAACACTTCCATGAACAGGTGTCATTCTTTCTTCACGATTCGCCCAACTCAAATGGGACATTTTATTATCGCCATAAGTCCCATTATGATTGTACGACGAGACTTGTGGCTTCGAGCTTCTGTCTACTTGCGGTGCTTTACGATCCGTCAACTGAGCGATTTATAAAAAGAAACTTTCTTTAAGTTATCGAGTTTTTAAATTAAATCTTCTTTTGTAAACTAATTGTAGATACCTGTAATAAGTTTGGACTGGAGTACGAACGCTCTAAATTTCCTCCCATTGATGTACTATCCATTTTCAGAGGTTCCTTATGGATATTATTTTCATTCTCTTTTATCGATAATTCTTTGTAATTATTTTTCATAGATATTCTATTGGCATAAATATGTACAATTAATAAATGAAATAACTTTTAATATTATATTTGTGTACTCACTCTCGTAACTTTTTTCGTTCCGCAGAAGTATCTTTCATTCGCCGTTTCAGTAAAGCTAGGGTGAACTCGAGATTGCCCTTTTCGTTTTCCTCTGTAGGATTAAATTTAATTGATTCCATTTTTCCATAATATTTGGTAAGTTCATCTTCGATTTTCTTATATTCTTTTTGCTGTAAAGAAACCCATTACATTTTTAGTATGTAATCATCATATAAGAGACTGGTTATATGTCACTATTAGTTTTATCAGTTGTAACTGTTTATTAGGTATATAACAATCATAATTTGTTATTTAAGCATATTCAATACCTTATCTTCCAATTTAGAGTGCAAAGCCTTTACATTACTGTGAATATATTCCTCCTCATTCGAACCTTTGTACTTAATATCATGTTGCATGTACAAAGTGCGTTCTTGTTCTAAGATTTCTTGATCCAAGTCCTGCTTATTCTTTGCCAACTCATTTAACTGTTTCATTAACTTCAAAACTATTTTTGATTCTGAAGTGTCTAAGGAAACTGGTTTGCTACTTCTATCTACTATTGGTTTCGTGTCATTCTTCCTAATAATATTCGATGTTCTCTTATGCTGAAGATTCAACGAATTATTATCGTAGTGTCGTGAACTCGTGTTGCTTTTTGGGACTTTATCTACTTCAATAGAACTATTCATAAAATTCTTAGAGCGCATAGTAATATTGTTACTTATTTCTGGGTCCATGTGTTTGTACCACATTTTATCATTAGTAATGCTACCTTTCGACGCGATTTCGTTCTTATTTACTGGCTTTAATTTAATTAGTTTATTTTCACGTGACTTAATAATATTTTCTTCCTCGTCTAAATGTATTAATTCAGGGTACTCTATGTTATCTAATATTTCGTCTGCAATGTCGTGTAAACTAGGCTCTACAATATTAGGATTTGTTGTAAATGCTGGATAACGAGTTAACCATTCTGCGTAACCACCATCCAAAATTGTAATTCTTTTATATTTTATACCAGGATCCCAATCTTCTAAAATTTTCCTTAGTATATTTAAGTGGTTTTCAGGCGTCAATGTTTTGCTCGATGTATCCCAATCGGTCAGGATTATAACATCGACATATTGCGCTGCCCTATGTTTAAACAGGTCTAGAGATTTCTTATCTTTGCGAAGATATTCTTCAAAATACGTTGTTAATTTGCTAAAATATAAGATTTATTATTAAAAAAGATTCATTTTAGAGTAATATAGAGAATAATGTTTACCTACCCAGGTTTTATTATGGTATTAGGAATATTAACAGATTTGTCAGATAATATTCTTGAAGCTTCATATTTCAGCTTAGGTCTGATATCAATGATCAAATATCTACTATCTGCTTTTTGTATTAATTGAAATAGTTGATCACAGTTTATAATTTCTTCATTATCACTGACCAATGGATCCCTGGTTGGTGTCTCAGGTAACTTTATAGGACCATCAACAGAAGTCATAAAAGCATCTATTCCTCTTTCGTTATCTACATCCATTTTTTCTACATTAATCTTCTCCAATGTCGTCTCTTTCAACTGCAGTTTGTATCGTGCATCTAATCTTTGATTCAAGTCTGCAAGTAGTTTTTTTACTTCATTGATCTGCAAGACACATTCACAATGTTTTATTTGCTCCGATCAATCGTCCCAAATCTATTTTAACATATAACACCTAAAAACTTTACATTTGGAATACCTTTATTTGTGAATGATAAGTTTAATAAAGCATAGCCACTCCCCACCTGTTTGATATGCATATTCAAGAATGTTCTGTCATCTCTATATTCTCGAGTGGTTTTCAACCAATCAATGCAGTTCATCCATCTTTTTAACATGATATATTGCTTCTCCTCCTCTCCTTGTAACTTGGCATTCTCAGCCAGATTATACATATCAGGGAGCCTTTTGTAAATATCTGAGGGCTTTTTCCCAGTGTAATTGATTCTGGTCTTTTGCTGTAGATCTTTTATGCTACTATATTGTAAAGATACTTTTTTAGACATTTTGACTACTTCCACTGTTACAAACCTCAGATTTAATTTGTATAGTGTAGTAAATACTATCGTATATAGTATCTTCTATATATCTATATAGTATCCTAAAAAATAAAGAAAATCATTTAATGTATTATGACTACACTACTGAACTAAGATTATGACTACATTGTTGTTGTTTATGCAAATTCATATTATTATACTGTTTGTAACAAAATTTAAGAAAAATGCAGGAGTTACATATTTATATACAATTCAAATTTTATTAAGTAGTACAGACTGTTTCTTTTGACCACTTTTTGCTACTTATTTGTTTAAAATGTTTTGCATTTTAAAGTATTCTTCTAATATTTTATCATTAAATATATGGATTTGTAAAAGTTAGAATAAATGATATATCAAATAAATGAAACTGCTGGAGTTAAATACTTTAATAAGTAATGAGATAAAGCATTCTTGATGATACACAAGAGATAACATATTTTATCGAAATTTTTAATTTTGGAAAAGCTACAAACTTCCTGAACAATCTAACGCATAAATAAATATCATAACAAGTACTTTATATTGGATATTCTCAAATTTTCTTTCAAATTTATACATACATATGTACTCTGTATATTTTTATAACTTTTAATTTTCCAAAAATGCATAAACAGCTCCAGTCTAATTATAAAAAATAAAATATTTTAGAAAATAGTACATTTTATAAATAAAATAATACACTTTAAAACAAATAATTATACTATGATAAAAATATTTATACGAGATCATAAATTCTGTTGGAAATATATGACCTATTAAACTGGGATAATTGGTAAAGAAACCACTAATGTAATTGAAATTGGTTATGCACCTTTTCATCATTACAGTCCATGATCCAAATGAATATGATATTATTCACGATGCCATCGAAAAAACGGTGTGGTGCGACATTTCTGTTTATCAATAGAAATGTCAAAATTCAATAAACACTTTGAACGTCAATAAAATTTTCTACTTGAACGATGTTACTACCTCTCTGCTACATCCTAGTAACGTGACGTTTATTGTGCCAACATCAGCGCTCTCTCGCGGACTTTACATGAAAAACATTCGATATTTTTCGTATTATATTTTACTGTATTATATTTATATTTATATTGTATATATAAGAAACGTTTACATCAAACATGCGAATTTTATTTCTCCCCTACTGTAGCACAATTTAATCAGATTTAATAAAATTAAAGATGGTTTAACATGCACAGACTCCGTGTACTTATATGGAACCATTTTCAATCGTATTGTTTCGATTGCTTAAAAGTATAATTAAATATGAGAAATAAATTGTTCTTTTTTTGTACTGATTAATTTTAATAAATCGAAAGAGTTTAACAGCAATTTATAATTTTCCCCCTCTCCCTCGCTCCTTCCTTGCCGGCCAATTCTAACACCGTTCGTATATCTGTCCTTATCGCACAATATTGCTCTCTGCGTTTAACAAAACATATATCTGTCCTTGTCGGACATAATTGCGTTCCTTGTTTACGGACAGGCCATGTGCTGCCATCTATCCAAAAACTCTCAAAGTTTCAGTTCGTTCGCCACGTAGTAGATAGCAGTTCATGACTTGTAAGAAATGCGTCTACTAATTTATAGTAGTTTAAAAGAAATGCTTATACAATAATTATGTTTAAAAATAAATATGAATTATATATTATTTATGTTAGAATTAAGTTATGTCTATCATATATTTTGTTCTAATACATATATTACGTTCTAATTCAGATTATTTATGTTTTAATTCAGACAGTTAAATGCGTGAATCACTATAGAATTAGATTTCATTCTCAAGATTATCGTATAACTTCTTAAATTTACATTTATCTTGCACTTAGTCAACGATTATACCTTCGCTTGTAACTTGATGTAAAGACTCGTACTATAGGTCGATAACGCAGTTTCGAGATAACAGTTGTATCATTTGTCACTAGATACTGATAACATTCAATGAGGACCAGTTCATAATACAATCATATTACGCTTATTTAGAAAAATTAATAAATAAAATTAATAAATAAAATTAATAAAATAAATAAAACAATTTCTTCATGGTATAGAAATGTAGAAATGTATATAAAGCATTATACGAAAATAATCGATGCATACTAATCACGTTCATATTGTACAGATACATCCTTTACATTGTAGCTCTTTTATTTTTAATAATTCATACTTAATTAAGTTTCCAGCTATCTCTAAACCGTATGTACATTTTTAATTGCACTCTACTTTCACGTTTCATACGAAAACTCATTTTCTTTGCACGTTTCGTATCTTTCTCATTATGTCAGTGCTTTTAGGAATTATTTGCAAAATCTACACCGTATTCTGCAACAGTCGTTCGCATATAATTACGTAGTAATAAATATCAATATATGAAAATGTGGTAAATGTAATGAATGCATATAGAGTTTCGTATTCGCTAAAATAATTAACATAGTTAATGGGAAAAATTACGTTATTGCGTCCGAAAAGATCTAATCCAAAATTTGTAGCTTTCGAAAATTATTTCAATGCAAATTAACATTATTAATTAACATATACAACACATTTAGCGAAAATACAATAACATAATTAATGAAATTATTAGCTCTATTAGAATAGTAAAACAAAGAAACATTGAATAAAAGATTTACTATTCGAATAAGAAATTTTCCCTACAAAAAAAATTTAAGAAAATTTTAAGATTAAGTTTAAGAAAAGTTTTTTTTATGTATACATTATTACTCATGTGTTCTCAAAACATATATAATTCATCAGACAGACAACGTGTTGAAAAAACGTAATTGAGTCGGAAATGATGGAACATATGCAGCAGCAAGTAATTACAAAGCATTCCTCACTTTCAAATGAGTTTTAAAATAACTACGATATCGATCCCTATAATATTAAAGAATATTGAAAATATACGAAAGAGATGTTCGCAATCAATTGATTTTGAATGAGAATCGGTCAGTGACAAATCGTAGGGAGTTTATCCATTACGGTGCAAGACAAATTGACGTAGCGTAGCCGAAGGACCCTCTTAGGTACATCAGTGGCTGACAAACTGGTCAAAGCCCTCTTACAACCCTCTCGGCTGCCAAATTATCGGACTCCTGTGGACAGCGAACCCATTTATACTGTCCACCAGCTAAGACATAGTAGGACCGGGGATAAAGACGATCCTGCAAGACGAATCAATCGGTAATCGACTCTCAGGGCGCTACGATTTATCGACAGAACTTTAAAGTAACACGGAACATCGACTAAAACCACTAATGTTACGTTTCGTATCGATCTACTGTAGGACACTTATCACAGAATACTAATATATCATGCGCATTGTTCGAAACTTTTTGAAATTGTTGTTAGTACCGCGAGTAGACTGTGGGTTCTTTTGCAGATTTATATTTTTTAGAATACAATTAAAAAGGTAGAACCCTGGCAGAAAATTTCTTTACCTAGCAAGTATTATAGGAAGCACTATGTTTTGGATATTTTATATATCTTTTCATACTATGTATATTCTATGTAATTTTACACTTTCAAATATCCCTATAACTGCATAGAAACCTGCAATCTAGTAACGAGACACAACTACCGTGATTATAGAGGTACAATTTGAAATCGACGCGTAAATATAGATAGAAATTACGAAACATTTATTCTAAATAAATATATGCTTGCTGTCAGCGAAGAATTAATACACAGCACGAATGGTACAGTCTTAAACGTACAATTAGAGCTAAAGATGGTTTCACTGGATATTGCGACACATAGTGAATAATAATTGACCGTTAAGAAATTTTAGTTTGTCGTTGTGAATGGAATCGCCCTGAAGAAAAATTAAGGAATTTCAGATTTTATTCGTAGAAGGATTAACGAATTTCTAGTCTGATAAGAGCAAATAAGTGTAAATAAGTGTAAATATATGTATCGAAAGAACGCACGGTTGAGAGTGGGAAGTAAATAAGGATAACAATTGTAAACCAAGTACCTTTTTATGGCCAAGGAGCTGAAAGAAACAAATATACTACTTTTATTTGTATTATTTTTATTATTATTATTAACGAATTTCAGATTTTATTCGCAAATGTAGCTGGAAAGGGAATTTGTGGAGATTTTACTTTTCGGAAATAGCGCCAGTTAATGACACGACTGTTACAGGCCGGTGTACGAGACAAGAATAATGAGATACGTAATTCCGGGCCGTGTTACGATGTTATAAAGTATATCGTGAAACGACTTTGTGATCAAAACGTAGTTAAGGAGCGTGCCGTTCGAGATTGCTAAATGCTTTCATAAAGGAGAAACCGATCTTTCTGAATTAACGAGATAAATTGTTTTACCTTGAAAAAAGCTGAAACGATTCATTGTTTATCAATAGATACTATAGAGGTATAGTAAAGAATGCAGTTTGTATCGAATGTATAATCTTCGCAAGAATACTCAACTCTGTGATAAAAGAATTTTTATGTCTTTGACTCTTCATTTTCTTTCTCTTCTTTGTGTATCTGCAGATTTTGACGCTTACAGATAATTAATTACCAACAAAATAATTTAGATTATACATGGATAGAAAAACCTGTTTCTTCGTTGTATCTTCGGTTCTTCCAAAATTCCAAGAGAACCCTCTAATATCTAGTAAATAAATTTACTTCTTCGCGTGTACCTTTAGCGTATTGGAAAATTCGAAGAAAAATCTCGACATCCAAAACTATATTCAAATATTCAACGATCAAAGTCTCGTATACAACTTATCGGTAATAACATGAAGAAAATAAAGAAAGAAAAAGAAACAGAGAAATATAGAAAGATACGATTCATCAACGTCGAAAAAGGAATTCATCGGCAAAGAATCCGTATCAATCGTTTAAAAGAAGGTGAAACCACCTTCGGAGGAGGCAACGATTTTCATTCTCACGCGGCAACCAGAACAGAGGATCCAAGGAAGAAGGTAAAGAGATTGGGGCTTAAGCCGG